TAATAATAATAATAATAATAATAATAATAATAATAATAATAAATAATCGTTGATAACATATAGCAACATGTATAAATCACTATAGATCCTGGAGGATTTACACAGCTCTAGGTTACGTTCCTCCATCAGGTCCAGCACGGACTCCAGTGTCCATTAACATACGTCGATGAATCGACTTAATAAGAGTTCGTGAGAAAGTAAGCCCCCGTCATATCCAATTTCTCATTGACATAATATCTAAATCAAGCTTATACAAGGTCACCGCAACTCACACCACTGTACAATACCCAGGTCTAAGCTTCTCTATAAGTGCAATTATATACAGAAAAGTCAATGCATTTATAAAACATTATACTCTATTCAACGCTTTTCTTTGGCGTCAACAGACGACCGGAAGCTAGTGACAAGAGGGTCTCTGCTTAGTTGGTGGTTGCTTCGCCGACCAATGAGGGACGCACGCCATCACAACAAACAGGTGAATATGAATGAGAAAGGTGGAAACAAAACGAATTTTGGCAGCTGTAAAACACGAGAATGACCGAAAACCAATAGCACTTTACAGCAAGTTTCAAACATATATTTTTTTTACAACATAATGGCTGCGCTTATGTTTTTATACTTAAATTCAATTATTGATGAGCAGATTAACCTTTTAGATTTAGAAGGTAGCCCCACACCTTGGTATTTTGTTCTGACTAATGCCAGACAATTGCATTCAGCTGAGAGAAACCCCTTGCCATATATATATATATATATATATATATATATATATATATATATATATATATATATATATATATATATATATATATATATATATATATATATATATATATATATATATATATATATATATATATATATATATATATATATATATATATATATATATATATATATATATATATATATATATATATATACTGTATATATATATATATATATATATATATATATATATATATATATATATATATATATATATATATATATATATATATATATATATATATATATATATATATATATATATACTGTATATATCTTGATAAAATCACACGGGAAAATGGAAACAACGGAGTACCTTAGCTTTCGTCTTTATTCAAGACATCTTCAGAGGCAACTGGATTACATGGACAGAGAAAGGCTTAAATATACAGGGTGACCTGTGATTTTATCAAGATTTATCTTATCCACGTTTTCATTGTGGATTTACATGAAATAAATAAATATATATATATATATATATATATATATATATATATATATATATATATATATATATATATATATATATATATATATATATATATATATATATATATATATATATATATATGTGGGGTATGCTATAACGAACGGATCCTACTACGAATATTCCTATAACGAACGGTTTTACCTATAAAATTGAGAATGCTATAACGAACGAAACTCCTACAACGAACATTATTTTATTTTTTTTTCTAATTTATTGTTTTTTTATTACAAATATTAATAATATTCTTTATTTCAGGGGTTTAGATGCATATTTATGCACTTTTTTACAATTTTTACAATTTTATATTACATGTATATTTTTCAGTGTTAAGTGGTTGTATTTGGGGGCCTGGAACGGATTAATCCTATAACGAACGAATGCTATAACGAACAAGGTTCTAGAACCAATTAGATTCGTTATAGCATACCATGTGTGTGTGTGTATATATATATATATATATATATATATATATATATATATATATATATATATATATATATATATATATATATATATATATATATATATATATAATATATATATATACATATATATATATATATATATATATATATATATATATATATATATATATATATATATATATATATATATATATATATATATATATATATATATATATATATATATATATATATATATATATATATATATATATACTGTATATATTGATAAAATAACACAAGGAAAAGGGGAAACAATGGAGAACCTTAGCTTTAGTCTTTATTCAAGGGATCTTCAGAGGCAACTACATTACCAAGACTGGGAGAGAGCTGAAGTACACAGGGTGACCTTACAAAACATGAGGTCAGGTCAAAAAACATGACATCCACTTATCCACACACCAACCACACAGCAAACATGACATGACATGACTATTTATGTCGCCCGTTCTTAAAACCTCTTTTTATCCAATAAGACTATTTCCCTCAGAATAAATTCTCACAACCAAAATAGCACAGTAAAGAACTTTCCAACACTCATGTCTCTTAAGTCCTAGTATAGTACTGTTACCCTATAAGATTTGGCTGCAAAGTATTGAGTACTCTCATCCAATGATTGGTGTTGTAGTGGACGTCTCCCCTACAACTGCCTAACTGCGTAGCCACGCCACCACCTGTTACCGTCTTCCCTAGCAACCAAGCGTATCTGCATTCCAATGCCCGCCGTATCTTAGCAACGGAACTAGTCACCGGCTACTTCTCGGGTTTTCCCACCATGACTCATAGCCGCTGCTGGGTGTATATAAGCTCTGTCTCTCCCTTGAGATTCAGTCTGACCAATCTTCTTGAACAAGCAACACCTCCTCCTCTGCCGCTGCCTGGCGACCCTCGCCTCTCCTCCGCCTGCCTGGCGGTCCTCGCTCCCGCCAGCGAGCATGTCCTTCTCTGAGCTTCCTCACCAACCAATTCTCATTCTGCCCATTTTCCTGAACAAGCAACATCTCCTCCACCAAGCTCCACGCTGTTAACATTTCATTCAACCAGGAGGCCAGCAACAGGCAACATCTCTAACGAAGCTCCTGCACATCTACCTCCTTCAACAAGCTACTCACCGAACGTCTCCTACCGTGCAGCCTCTCACCACACGGCACCTCCAGCACCAGACTGTCTATCATATAACTATATTATACAAGAAAACCACATTAGAGTTTCCTTCCATCCTGAGTGCTAGACAACTTTAATATCTCGATACCCCTACAGTGTCCTTAGCCAGTCTCCCTAGTAAAGATATCAAAAGCATAAAGAGAACGTAAATAACTGAAAAGCCAGATACAAAAAAAAAAAGCCTGGCATTCTATGAAGTCCCCAAACCAACATGTTTTCATTCCACGAGAACATGAATCACATTTAGGGGAACCATATGCAATGTACAACCTCAAAAAAATTATCTACAATACCTCTTGGGGAGTGTAAAATAAAGGGGGTTATTCATTACCGCCTTATATTTCAACATAAAACTGTTAAAAGAATTATTTTAGTTTTTCCAGTCATAATCAGGTGGCACAGATCATATCTAATCTTACTAGTTTCCTTCTCAGAATACATTCAGGAGCCAGTGCATGCCCACTTATCTGCCAACAGTGTGTATCAGAGACGTGACCGACTGCCCAATCGGGTAACGAGCCGATCAGTGGTAAAGAGGATTAAAGTAAAAGTAAAAAAGTATAGGAGCGAATAAAATCATCTTATCATTGTTGACAAACTGGATCACCAGAAGATTTGGCACCACCTGATGATTACACAACCGAAAGCCAACTTAACCTAACCTCCCAAGGTAACATTAGCATGTTTAATCATCAGGTGAAATATGATGGGGTGCATAATCTTCAGGTGATCCAACAACCTGTGAGACTAGGCCAGCAGCACATTGGGCACTTTCCTCCAAACATGTTGCCTGTTTTGCTAGCTGCTGGCCTGGCGGGTCAATTCACATAATGTAAACATGTTAAAATGCCATTGCCGGGAGGGATGTGTAGACATAGATTTGTATTAGGCAGAAAATTTTCAAAAAGTTGCTTGTTAACGTGAGTCAGGGATCCAAAGTATGGTAAAGGTGAAACAGACAGTTAGCACACGACCACGTTTATATATTTCATTCATATTTTCCACAGTTGTTCTTTGGATGATATTAACTAATAAATCAATACAACTTTTTATTTTAATTATAAATATTTTTCCCCTTTTCTCTACCTACGATCATAAATCACCTGTAGTGGGCAAGACATGAAGGATGAGAGAAATTGCCGGGTAAAAACATGGTAAAAAATTTATTAGAAGACAATTAAATCAAGTCTCTATATGCTTTGTACGTGAAGAAATTTCATATTTACCGTAAATATTCCACTAAAAATTCTGGTCTGTCTGCGCGTGTTGTCCTCTGATTGTAAACACATCCACATTTCAGTCTCACTGGTTAATAAACAACGATGTAGCCTCATATCAGAGGTTTTAGTACCTTAAATATAAGCTTGATTTTTTTTTTTATAGCCTTCACTATCCAGAGTCATGAGTCTATGCCCTACACAAATCCTATACTGTACTCAATGATGGACTTCTCAGTAAACTCTCTCAATAACAGACTTCTCACTGTTGGACATTCTCATTAACAGAATCCTCCCAATATTGGACAGGGCTTGCAAGAATTAGTCCGGTATTGGGAGGGTTTATTTCTTTCCACACAATAGGTTCGTAAACTTATTCAATTTATAAATGATGAGGCTCATATTGTTGGAATCGAAACCTATACAGCATTATGGGTTTTGATTAATTTCCAATACATTACGTGTAGCTTTGTTAATAAGAGAACTTTATGTTTGTACAGTATATTTATTGTTTTACGTCAAGGAGGATGACTGCAGGAGAAGCCATATTGTGTTTCAATGACATCCTTATCGCGTCGTGTTTGGCATTTAATCGCAGCTAATATACAACTCGTAACTGTCAGCAGTTCGGTAATTATGGTGGGTATTTTAGACACAGTTTAGTACCCTGATTACTTTCAGTTCTATTCATTTCTTGTGCAAATACTTAGTTTTCTAGATATAGGCAAGTTAAGATATAGGTTAGGTTAGGTTTGGTTAGGTTAGCACATGATTTCAGCCAATTTTATATTTTACCACAACATAATACAGTATTCCTTAATAAAATCAGTGAAAACTGGGTATTTTTAAACTCATTTTCAATGAAAAACAGCGGACGGTCATGATCAGAATAATTACCTTAATCTCAAGTTAGCTGTGCTTGTGCAGGATGCAGACCATCTTGTCTCCATGAGTTCGTCTAACACTGACTACTTGGTAAGACATGCAAATGTTCAAAATGTCGCAGAGAACTGAGGGTGAAGAAGAAATACCAGTAAGAGTTTCAGTGCCATAACCGACCGTACTCTCACATTCACAAAAAAACATAAAATTACACCATGCTGCTTCAAGATAGTTCCTTCCAATAGTACCAGATATCAAAGTACTGTAAGTTCTTTGTGTAATATCCCATGGGGTCCAGGTGTTGGAGCCCCCAGCTAGGAATTTAGGTAAGGTTAGATGAGTTTAATCGATCTATGACGGCGAGTTGGTTAGGTCAGGTTCTGTGCATTTTCGTTTCCTTTTCGTGTTCAGTATCATGCAAATAGTACCTCCAGAATTTTTTATTCAATTCCATAAGTTATTTCTGGTGCTAACCGTCTGCCCCTCCTTTAACCAGAGCATTACTCAAGATCATAAGGATGAGGGTCCGACTAATTACCCAAATGTAGCCGCAATGAAGTCAAATAATGATCCTACATGAATAAATCGGACTGCCAATCACTTGTCGACTGGTATTTGGTTTCACGAAGTCACAAAAAATCGGTAAACTTAATTTCATCTGAGTTAATAGATCGAGTGCATGTACCTAACCTAACCTAACCTAACACAACTCAGATTAAATTAAGTTTACCAATTTTTTGTGACTTTATGACACCAAATAATAATCGAGAAGTGATTCACAGCCCAATTTACACCTGTAGGACCATCATTTGACTTCATTGCGACTACATTTGGCTAATTACTCGCTCCCTCGGTACAAGCACGTGATCTATTAACTCGGTTTAAATTAAGTTTTCCATTTTTTGGTGACTTCGTGACACCAAATACTATTCGAGAAGTGGTTGGCAGTCCGATTTATTCATGTAAGACCATTATTTGACTTCATTGCAGCTACATTTGGGTAATTAGTCAGACCGTAAGGATGAGGCAGGTTAGTTTGGTTCACATCAACTCTCATAAGTGATTTAATGTACTGTAGTCTCAAAGTCTGGTGATTTTTCAACAATGGTCAAATACTCTTAATTGTGAGACTATTAAAGCGATTCTGAGTAACCTGTAAGTTCAATCACCATCAGTTCAACACACGATAATGACAAAAACACTAACAATAATGCAGAAAGTTTCATGTTGAACTGTATATAACGTGGTAATGCTTGATACCCTTTTATTTGCCGTTCTTTTAAGAGAAATGTGTTATAAGTTTACAATAATAACCCTTTAGGAATAATAGTTTAACCCTTTGAGGCAGAGGATTTATTTCTTTGGTGATGACTTGATTCTCTATGATGGTTTAAATACCCACAGTGAAATATCTGGTAGAATAACAGAAGATCTTCACCAACTCACTAATAAACTGATAACTAAATTATTTGAAAATAAGGGTAAATGGAAAGGAAATGAAGCCAACAAGCTTAGGTATCAACTCTTGGAGGATGAAGGGGGCTAAAGTTAAACATTACGGGGGATTAAAACTGATGTACTGGTAATGAGGATAATATAACCCAAACATTCCAACCCATAAACCCGTCAGAATTTGCTCGTGTATCCAAATGATGATTATTATGTACGTGTATTAATATACGGCCCCCTAAGTGTCGTCTGCTGGCGCAACCCGGTGATGCCCCCAATTTGTATTAACTGCACTTTATGATTGATGACGCGCTGCACAATGGCAAAAATCTAGCACAATAGTTCAATACTAGTACTACAAAAACTAAACATAAAAGTTTATGATAAAGTACCGACCGGCAAGAAGCATATAATACTTTATCATACATTATCAGAATAAAATGTGAAGTGTGATTCCTTACCTTCGTAATTGAATCCTCTTTGACAAATATTCTCTAACACTTAAACCACACAAGTTAAACACTAAATACGAGGACTGGACACCCCTCCGAAGTTAACTCGTACTACACTACACTTTCAATATGTGTGACCGTGAATCTTCAAGTGTGCCAACCGAGCACCAATTCACATAGCTAGAATTAACAGCTGAATACCTAAGATTCTAATATCTGTATCTGTAGATATATTCCTTTGAAATTATTCTATTCATTTATCTCGTGACCTATTTTTATTGGTTATATTATTATAACCCAGGTCAAGTAACAGTACTGTACTTTAAAGATAAATAAAAAGCTCATAATATAAGTCTTTTCGTTTTATGCTAAATTTATTATAAGATACAGGAATATCTCTGCTATTTAGTTTTCAACCCCAAAAAGAGTTTTAAATGTACTATAACCTATAACTCTAACGTTGGCAACCCTGGATACATGCTGGAGTACGAGAAACGAGTCTATCATTGTTTACAAGCTCACACTCATACTATCACGAGTCTATCATTGTTTACAAGCTCACACTCATACTATCACGAGTCTATCATTGTTTACAAGCTCACACTCATACTATCACGAGTCTATCATTGTTTACAAGCTCACACTCATACTATAACGAGTCTATCATTGTTTACAAGCTCACACTCATACTATAACGAGTCTATCATTGTTTACAAGCTCACACTCATACTATCACGAGTCTATCATTGTTTACAAGCTCACACTCATACTATCACGAGTCTATCATTGTTTACAAGCTCACACTCATACTATCACGAGTCTATCATTGTTTACAAGCTCACATACTATCACGAGTCTATCATTGTTTACAAGCTCACACTCATACTATCACGAGTCTATCATTGTTTACAAGCTCACACTCATACTATCACGAGTCTATCATTGTTTACAAGCTCACACTCATACTATCACGAGTCTATCATTGTTTACAAGCTCACACTCATACTATCACGAGTCTATCATTGTTTACAAGCTCACACTCATACTATCACGAGTCTATCATTGTTTGCTCACACTCATACTATCACGAGTCTATCATTGTTTAAGCTCACACTCATACTATCACGAGTCTATCATTGTTTACAAGCTCACACTCATACTATCACGAGTCTATCATTGTTTACAAGCTCACACTCATACTATCACGAGTCTATCATTGTTTACAAGCTCACACTCATACTATCTAACGAGTCTATCATTGTTTTTACAAGCTCACACTCATACTAATTCTATCATTGTTTACAGCTCACACTCATACTATCACGAGTCTATCATTGTTTACAAGCTCACACTCATACTATCACGAGTCTATCATTGTTTACAAGCTCATTGTTCTACAAGCTCACACTCATACTATCACGAGTCTATCATTGTTTTAAGTTTCACAGCTCCATCATTGTTTACAAACTCACACTCATACTATCACGAGTCTATCATTGTTTACAAGCTCACACTCATACTATCACGAAGTCTATCATTGTTTATAGCTCACACTCATACTATCAGTCTATCATTGTTTACAAGCTCACACTCATACTATCACGAGTCTATCATTGTTTACAAGCCCACAAGCACAGTCTATCATACATATATCACAGTCTATCATTACAAGCTCACACACTCATACCATACAGCTCACACTCATACTATCACGAGTCTCATTGTTTACAAGCTCACACTCATACTATCACGAGTCTATCATTGTTTACAAGCTCACACTCATACTATCACGAAGTCTATCATTGTTTACAAGCTCACACTCATACTATACTCGAGTCTATCATTGTTTACAAGCTCACACTCATACTATCACGAGTCTATCATTGTTTACAAGCTCACACTCATACTATCACGAGTCTATCATTGTTTACAGGCTCACACTCATACTATCACGAGTCTATCATTGTTTACAAGCTCACACTCATACTATCACGAGTCTATCATTGTTTACAAGCTCACACTCATACTATCACGAGTCTATCATTGTTTACAGGCTCACACTCATACTATCAGATTGTTATAAATTTCTGTACAATAAAGCAAATAAATAATTCTTATTTATAAAGAAAAAAACTATTAGCACCTGTAGCTATTTTTTCATATTTCTCGTGTTCATGCATTTAATTTTATTTTAAATTAAAAATTAGGCGACCGCCTAAAAACAGGTAGTTTTAACAAGACTACATGGTAACTAATAAATATATATAAAAAATAATAGGGTCTAATATAATCTGAACGTTAGGCTTTATGTTATTTGCAAAATTAATCATGACAGGTAATCAGAAATTATTTAAGTTATTCATTTATATAAATAATAAATATCTTCACAATTATCATTGTTATAAGCATCGTTACTTATGTAATTAGTACAGTATACAATAAAATCATACCCACTGTACTTTATACAATATTGTACCGTCAACTCATAGTACAGTGCATGAATTGCACACATTTCAGGAAGCCCTTTTTATATGCCCTGGCCCTAAATTCATCAAGATTTCTATTTTAATATTACTGTAGAGTATATATTATTTGAAGTATGCCATATTATAAGGAATACACGATAGGTAAATGAAATAAGCTACTATAAATTGAAGTAAAATGAGAGATATTTATTTAATATCACATAATAATATAGGGTAGATGATTTGTACAGACTCAATTCTAGTTAAGTGCAACTTAAAAAAGCTAAAATATTATACACAAATATGAATTTGTCCGTCATAAGTAAATTCACGATAAAAATTTTATATAAAAACAAAAACCAGCAAAATGAAGTCATGCATGATAAATAACAATACAAACTAGTTTAGACAGCACATGAGACCCAAACTGAACATGTGTTTCTATAATAAAAAATAACTTTCATCTCTCTAAATACCTCTGTACTGCACAAGGAACTGCATCAGTAACTTTGCAGAAAATGAAATCAAGCATTATGGCACAATATTAGTGAATTTGCAAACACAGTACAATATTTTAAGAACTTGGTATGAGACTTTACTATATGCTGTCATGAGATTTTAATATATGCCAAATCATATGACTTTATTATATTCTGTATCATGAGACTTTACTATATACTGTACAGAACTTAAAAAAAAAAAGTTTCAATAAAAATCCCTATGGAAATTACTAAAAGTTAGTATCCAAGTGTTGGTAAATTTTTTAATGTGTACACAACTCTTTACAAACTGGCCATGGGTACATTTCCTCCTGTGAATTTGTTTTGTTATTGTCCTCAGATATAAAAGATGATTCTGACACACTGCAGGCACCAATTACCATAGCTTCATCTTCATTACTTACATTAAACACAGTTTCATATTTTACACTTTGTATGGAATGTTTCTCTATATTTGAGCAATTTTAATTTTTACTTTTGATGTTCCAATTGTCTTCATCATCAAACTCACCAAGACATTCATCAAGATGTTGATTAATCTTCCTTTTGGAAACAGCTTTATCACATACAGGACACCTTGCAAAATCTTCCTCACCACTGTCTGACAGCTTTGAAGATGAGGGAAGTAAGTAGCCATCAAGTGATTTTTGAAAGTTTGGAGATGACTTTTTCCCTTTCAATGGACTCTTTCCTTTTGTAGGTGATCTTGAGATCCAAGAGCCCTGTTCCTCATTTAGCTTCTCTTTCCTTACAGTGTGAAAAGATCCTTCAGTATTTGTAGAAATTTCAGTTTCACCTAAAGAAGCAGATGCTGTGTGAGGATCAGACGGATGAGATGAGTTAGAGAGAGAAAGCAACCTGGACACCCCAGTTCTTGACCCTCCTAGATTGAAACCTTGTCCCTGGAATTTACTTGTCTCTGGTGTAGTACTTTCTGTTTTTATACCACCACCTGCTTGGCTCTCAGTTTTGGTGGAAGTCTTTCCCTTCACTGTAACTGTCCTTGAACCACCACCTCGCATAGCAAGACCAGTACCAAATCCACTGCTGGGCTTCCCTGCTGCCTTTCCAATTGGTTTTCCCATGGTAGATCCTCCTGGAGTACTGCGGGGTTTCTTATGTGCTGGAGGTCCACCACCAAATCCATGCACTCTTGATCTGCTTGCACTGTCAATGTTTACATGTGAAACTGTACCAGATGAAGTGCTTGCTAGCCTGTGTATGTTTTTAAGCTTTCCTTCACAGTATCTATTGCTGTCAATTACATCACTAGTTCTATTGCCATTATTATTACTTGTCTCACCAAAGTTTGGAATAATTTCTTTAGAAAAACAATTTTTTTTGTTTATATTTTTCATACTTGTTTCCTGCTTGCTGGATGTATGTGAAGAACCCGAAGTACCAGCCACAAGGGAATTTCCTTTTCCTTTAAAATCTATATAGTTTCTGATGTCAGCACGATCATTCTCTTTCTTTTTTGTACCTGAAAATAAAAAGAAACAATTTCTAATAAGTACAGTACATATACTGTATTAAGCACCCATATGCACAGAGTACTAACTGGGTGGTATCTGACTACAAATCCAATTTATAGTGTTTTTTGGGCCTAACTACTTAAGGGGTATCACACTGGGCAAAATACCATATTCCTTGGGAGCAAACACGGCACTACTGCTGTTGTTGGTCAGATTTTCAACTGAAAACTGAGATCAGAGGTAAATAGTAAGTGAGGGAGTTCTCAGTTTAGTTTTGACTGCATTCCAGGTCCAATTTAGGTCTTATAATTGAAGGCATTGATTTTAAAACAAATTATTATAAATTTTTTTAAGTGATTCTAATGCAAAATATTATCATAAGAATATTAACTTTGTTATAGATATAAATGAAAGTTGCAGATAATATTTCATTTGATTTTTGTTTACATCCAGTGAGTGCAGCCAGCATGGATTCTCAAGCCTCACAAATTATTTGGCCAAGATTCTGAAACTTCCCTTGTTGATAAAATGAGGGAATGCAATGCTTTATGGGATTTCAGACATCCACTGTATCTTAAGAAGAGCTTAACGTGATAAAACATGCCATAGTTTTTACTGCTTTACTCCAAGCGATGGCAATACGCGAATGGTGCTATAACTGAGCGTGTGATTAGAAGAGCCTCTTTTTTTCTTTTTTACCAAGAACAGCATAGATTGTGCACAATGTGATACCCCTTTTAATAACTTTTTCCATTTGGTTACTATTTTCACAAATCATTATTGTGCACTACATTACATGTACAGTAAGTGTGTAGTACAGCTCCTCCCCGACTTACAACCTAGTCGACTTACGTCCACCCGCACATACGACCTGCCTCAGTCGTACCAAAATTTGGTCAAATTACGTATTTTTGAATCCCAAAGTCAGTACACAGACAAAATTTCCATCTGTAATTCACTTTAGAATGGCTGGCAAGCTTTAAAAATAGTGTTTTGTGGTGCTGAGAAGAAAAAGAGACCCCCATTTTAGATTTTCTATGTGTTATTTAAGCATTTCCGACTTACGACCTGGATGTCGGTCCCTAACCCCGTCGTAAGTCGGGGAGCAGCTGTACTTGTGTCTTAGATGTATTTTCAGTGTTTGGCAGCTGTATTTCTCAATTAACTATTGATAAATATTATTATTAAAAAATAGTCTACAATTACTTGTTACAGCCTTGTTTCTGTAGTTCCAATAGACTGGCTTTATTAGTAAACCTATGATGTTGATCGTTTTAAAACAGACGAAGGGTACAGAGCCCCAATCATGCAAACCACCTAAGTTATGGAGATTAAAAAAATTAGTAACATATCAACAAGAATTTGGTTTATACCAACAACTGTTTTAGGACAGGGGAATTCAATGAACAAACTTCTTTTAGATATGATATGGAAATTTATGGGAGAACCAGCTTACATTATAATTTGTGGAGCTAGGCAAGACATGATTTATCACTGGGCTAGCACACTTGTAGTCTTGTTTTCTATACTGTAAGGTGAAATCAGTGACAGTTTACCCAGCCCGGCTAGCAAGTGAGCCTAGACAATGAGGCTACATTTGTTTATCATCATGTTCAACCAATAATGCTTGGCCATCACAATCAGCATTTATTTTCAGCTTTGATATGTACAGTACTGTATACTAAAACAAGAGCAGAACCTTACCACATCATGGATACAATTCTTTAATCCTTAGGTTTTTTGGTTAAGACAAAAATTATTACATAATTGCAATTTTGTATGTCCTATTCACCTGTTAGAAGATTCTTTTTCTTCTTGTCACCATATCCATCAGGTTCCTGGATCTTGGTGTAGGTCCCCCCACAGGACTGCCGGTGCCTCTCCCACCATGGGTCACGTGGCCCAGGTGCTCGATTCATGGCTCGTTTTACTAAGCCAAAATAAGGTCTCCTTGTCCGGCATGGCCCATCACACTGCCATATGTGTTGTCGATAAACGCTCACCTCATCATGGAAACTATGGTAAACCTGAAAGTATAGTTCATGTTTTAAAACTTAAATAAAATATCTCTAACGCCTACGCCCCAGTTGACGTTCAGGAACGTGCGCCTTTTCGCGACATTGTTTGAATGTCCAACGCGTGTTATCAGGTTCCAGAGTGACTATTTGCATGTCACGCCACTCACTCGGCCACAGGGAAGCTTCTGGAATGTAAGTACCTACTTTTGTTTTTTTAATTTTCATTGTTTGTCCATTTTATCATGTTGTATCAAAGTAATATTGCTAAAAGTGGTGTACTAGTTGTATTGTAGTGTAGTATTACTGGAAAATAATGCAATGATTATGTTATAAATGTATTTATTTGTGGAATTATTATTCTGATAATTATTTGGATGCATTACTTGCTCTATGAAACATAAAGACAGCCTGGCGACAGACTGCTGTGTGTCGCCAAGCACTTTTTATGAAAAATAATGCAAATAAAATATTCTAAATGAATTATTTATAGGAAATAAGTATTATGATCAGTAAATATATGCATTACTGGCCATCCCGGACACAAAGGCAAGCAGAAAATGGCGACTAAGTGCATAGTGACCACGAGTGCTAGCTGTCAAAACAACACTTTTCCGTTATCTCCCTCGCCACTGTGGCCCAGGGAAGTTTCTAGAGGATCAATATATAGTTTTTCTTACTTATTTTTTGTTTTATCATTTAAAAAGGTTAAAAAATATTTTTGGAAAAATGATCTTTCTCGATTTACCCTGAGTGGGGGATTCGGCCAGCGGCACCCTAGCTCGGGGAGTAGGGGTCAATACCTGATTCCCATTCTAAGGGGCTACATCCTTTGATTAGTGAGATTAATCCTAATATAGACACTAAACTGACAAGACTGATCAATTTCATACTTCTCACAGCCATTTTGACTGTAGTGTATTAATCCTGTACCACTACAGGATTTAATCTATTTCTCTGGGACTCTGAAAGTTTGAACTGTATGAGTTTGGCTTTTCCTCTATACCACAATGTCAATATTTTATACTTTTAACACTGACATCAAGTGTTAATGTGAATCTATTAGGTCTTTAACAAATGAGAATCTAATTATGCTGAGAACTGAATGCAAACAATTTTATTTTTTAGTGACCCATGCAATGAATGCTGGCATTATCAAATATATATTATACAGTTACTAATTTGTTGCCAAAAATTTCCTTACCAATGAATTTTTTTTAAATGACAGTTTCACACACACTAACCGAAATCTTAGTTCCTGCCACTTCATTGATGCGGTACATGTGTTTGTGAAATTCAGGACCATGTCCATCTCGGTCTCTGTTGTTGGCAGTGACGAATAGGTAGGCATGGATCATCTCATGCTATGGGGAAAAAAATAACTAGGTCAGAAACAGGCAGATGTATAAGTGGATCTTCTCATGCTACGGGAAGTAATAGGAGGGCAAAGAAGAACTTTAACCACTTTGCTGTAGAAAATACATCTGTGTGCACACAAAATAATTTTCTTGTCTGCATAAAATGCATATTGTTTAGTTTTTCTTCGCTCATGGTGGGGTAAGTAAACACGTACTTGAAGAATTGCTTTGTTGAGTAACTTGTACAGGTGACGGCAGGATTCAGAATAACTACTGTATATTATTTAACAAACAAGTCATCTACTACAATACATATAAGGAATGGAAACTGTCTAATTCACTATAGTACAATGAAGCATGAGACTAACTCATTCACAACTCATTCACACGCAGACCACAAGAGGGCAGCACTCGTACTGGAACAATACAGTGATCCCTCGGTTAACGAATTACCTTCCATAAGAATCTTCAATTCGGTTAACGAAAAAAAATTTGGTTAACAAATTTTTTACGAAATCATGTCAACATGTTTTCGCTTGCTCATCAGCTGGAATATTAGTCCACCAATACAGTAATAGGTTCTAAGGCTTAAATTCGTTCCCATTTGAGTAAATATCAAGAAGGTTGTACTATTCAATAATTTTCCAAGTTTTATATTAAATTTTTTTTAGTCATTTTAGCACTTATTTAACATAATTGCAGTACAGGAAACTAGTTTTTGGTGCGCCAATCAGCCACTTGACTCACCCATAGAGGTGTCAGTTTGTATCTCTGGTCAGTGGAGGTAACATCTTGCTTGTGGCTCTCTTGAACATAAACTATTTTTACGTTTTTACAGTACAATTATTGGTCATTCTGAAATTTATTTTACATATTGACAATATATAGTGCAGTGCAGTGATGATTTAAAGAAAATAATCTTGAATTACACCAAGTGAACTAAAAATATTATGGGTGAAATGACGGCATGAAGCATGGGGTGATTTCTCTTCCACCCCTACTTCTAATTCCCATTATCATCAACCAGGAGCCTTCTACATACACACCTCAAAGTAAGTTTACTTTACTGCATTTATTTTTACTTTGTATGTAATTTTCGGTGAGCTGGAACCAATTACCCTAAATCCCATTGTGCAATGGTTTTGGTTAATGAACGACCTTCTGGAACGAATTGTGTTCGTTAACCGAAGGACCACTGTACTGATACACACACACACACACATACACCAAGCAGACATCACACACATATTTGCAATGACCACAAAATATTATTTAAATATTGCTGTTCTATATCTCCTTCCAGCCCACAATATGGTTGGGAAGAAGGGAGGTGCTGCTATCTGTTGACAGTGAATTAAATGTCCAATGTAAACAATGCCTCATTCAGTCAGCTGACACTACCCCACACAGGACCTTAAAGACTACATAATCCTGTTTTCAACCATAAATGAGTTAAGATTTGGATATTATAATATCAATTATATAATTGATAGATGTCTTTAATTATAAAGATATATAAAACAGGGAAATATCCAGCAAATTCATGTTGTTTAGATGAAAGATAATGTATCACCTCTTTGTTGACACTACAGCTCCTCCCTGACTTACGACGGGGTTAGGGACCCAAATCCAGGTCGTAAGTCGAAAATGCTTAAATAATACATAGAAAATCTAAAATGTGTGTCTCTTTTTCTTCTCAGCACCACAAAACTCTCACTTTTAAGCTTGCCAGTCATTTTAAAGTGAATTACAAACAAAATTTTTTTCAGTACACGGCTCGATCACTGACGTTGGGACTCGAAAATACGTAATTTGACAAAATTTTGGTACGACTGAGGTGGTCGTATGTCCGGGTGGTCGTAAGTCGGGGAGGAGCTGTACTTTGTATCATAACTTCCAGAGCTATTTATTATAAAATACTGTATACAGTGGTCCCTCGGTTAACGAACACAATTTGTTCCACAGAGTCGTTCGTTAACTGAAAAATTCGTTAACCGAATCCATTGTTTCAATGGGATATTGGGTAATTGGTTCCAGCTCACAGAAAAGTACATACAAAGTAAAAATAAATGCAGTAAAGTAAACTTACTTCGAGGTGTGTATGTAGAAGGTTCCTGGTTGATGATGGGAATTAGAAGTGGGAGTGGAGGAGAAGGGAGAAGAGAAGGAAATGGGGATGGAGGAGAAATCACCTTTCAGGGGACCCATGCTTGATGCCGTCATTTCACCAATAAAATTTTAAGTTCACTAGGTGTAATTCAAGATTATTTTATTTAAATCAACATTGCACTGTGCTATATATTATCAATATGTTAACTAAATTTCAGAATGACCAACAATTTCAATGTAAAAATACAAAAATATTCAAGACACCAACAAAATAGATGTTCACTCCACTGTCAACAAACCCAAACTGACGCCTGGTGGCTGAGTCAAGCGGCTGATGGGTGCACAAAAAACTAGTTCCCTGCACTACCTATATTATCAATATGTTAACTAAATTTTAAAATGACTAATAATTTGAATATAAAAAATGCAAAAACATTAAAAAGCACAACTTTCTTGATATTTACTCCACTGGAAACGAATGTAAACATAGAACAGATTACTGAATTGGCAGACTAGCCCATCAGCTGATGCTCACAACAACACGTGTTGTTTGTAAGGATTTCGTTAATCGAAGTTTTGTTCGTTAACCAAATTGAAGATCCTTATGGGAGGTAATTCGTTAACCGAACCGTTCGTTAACTGAGGGACCACTGTACTGTACTGTGTAAACTTCTATAATCCATGCCATCTCTGACATGATATGAGCATGGGATTGGATAAGCTTCTTTAATAAGGTACACTTACTCAGAAAATAAAAAAAAGCATGTTCACTACTTTCTTGTACAATATTTAGTTACTTTATAGTCTTGATTGGACTCAAGACATCCAGTATATCCAAACCTGCACAAACAACAGGTTTCATAATGAAAAAGGACACTGGTATTGGCAAAGGTTCACCTAAAAGAGAGGAGATTTGGGTAGTCGTTCCCCAACATCAACATTTTATGGCCATTTTCCATATATTTGTGAGGCTTAGCAGTGATAAATTGATGGTAGCTGTTGGATAAAACCAGAATGGCATGTCCACCACCCTCTATCTCCCACTCACCATCGCAAACCCAGAAAATGCAACAGAAAACAGAGGATGCCATCAGGCATGATGAAGCAAAGTTTTATGACTGGATGCCCTTCCCAATGCCAATGCACTAGATGGAAATAACTGGCAAGGTACAGTCACAACTCTGAGGTACGTAATCAAAGACTATCCACCATCCATATTTTAAGACCAAGTTCTCCCATCCCAAAACACCTTTATCATATTGACATTAATATTTCACTTACACATTACTTCTTTCTCTCTGAATTCATCAAATCTTCCTTTGCAATGCTCAAAATAAGCACCAAGTACAGATAGAGCAAACGAAAGAAAATTTTTCTGAAAATCGTCATTTGTATCAGGTTTTGTAGATATAAATCTGCATATATACTGAATGGGGTTCTGTTCTTCATGTAGCAACATAAAAAAAGAATCTTTGGGTATGGTAGGCAAGCCCATATTAAAGGAGCAGACTGGTAAGTTTAGCCTACTGTGTGTATGAACCAGGTAGCCATCATTTACTGTAAATGACACATGGAAATACATGAATATTAACCCCTCAAAAAACTACACATATATAATTTAACCCCCTACATTTTGCATCAAAATTTGACTATCAAAATTCACACTACAGTGTATACAGTGCTTAAGAATTTATGGAAATCAGATTAACTCCAAACTAAGTGATGGTACTGATCTGAGGTTAAAAGGCACTACTGTTTGTATATAGTGATATCCCCGTCAGCCGGAACAATTGGTGCAGAGCACTTCCGGAAATGAGGGATTTTCGAGTAACGAGACGAATCTCTTAAAGCTGGAAAATAATCCCTCATCCACAGAATTTTCCAGGCAACAGAAAAATATTCTCAGAAGTTCCAGAAATTGCACATTACATCATCTCTCAAAGTCAGAAAAATATCCCCCATCCCCAGAATTTTCCAGGTACTGTACTGTACTGGAAAATTTTTCTTGGAATTTCCGGAAAATGCGCTTGATTTTCATCTCTCAAACCCGGAAAAAACTCCCCCATCCCAGGAATTTTCTGGGAACTGGCAAAATTTTCTTGGAATTTCCCAGAAAATGTGCCCCTCGGAAAAAAGTTCCCAAAGCCGGATTTTGGGAACGATTTTCTGAGAAAATTTCAATTCCGGCTATTGGAGAGTTCCAGGTTTGATGGATTCGGGCTAATGGAAATATTACTGTACTGTATACATATTGTATATACAGTGACCCCTCGGTTAACGAACTCAATCCGTTCCAGAAGGTCGTTCGTTAACCGAAAAATTCGTTAACCGAAACCATTGTTTCAATGGGTTTTGGGTAATTGGTTCCAGCTCACCGAAAATTTCCTAAATTCAACAAAAATGGTAGAAAGTTCACGTACTTTGAGGTGTGTATGTAGAAGGCTCCTGGATGATGATGATGATGATGATGGGAATTAGAATGGGGGTGGAGGAGAAGGAAGAAGAGAAGGCATTGGGGTGGAAGAGAAGTCACCCCATGGCGCCATTTCACCCATAAAATTTTAGCTCTCTTGGTGTAATTCAAGATTATTTTCGTTAAATCAACACTGCGCTGCATTATATATTGTCAATATGTAAAATATATTTCAAAACGACCAATAATTTGCTTGGAAACACAGAAAAAAGCGTTTAGTTGAAGAGAGTCTCAAGCAAGAAGTTACCTCCAGTGAAAACAGAGAGAGACTAACGCCTGTTTGCTCTGTTAAGAGGCTGGATGCCGCGCATTAGACTAGTCACTTTACCTTCAATTATGTTCAATAATTGTTAAAATGACTAAAAAATTGAATATTAAACTTTTAAAATTATTGAATAGTATAAACTTCTTGATATTTACTAAA